AGGGAAAGAAGAACAAAGCTGGAAACACCATGCTTCCTGGTTTCAAACCATATTATGAAGCTACAGTACTGGCATTAAAACAGACACATAGATCAACGGAACAGAATAGAGAGCCCAGAAATAAACCCACGCGTGTATGGTCAATCCATTTACAACAAAGGAGCCAAGAATATACAGCGGGGAAAGGACACTCTCTTAAATAAATGACGTTGGGAAAACTGGACAGCCACGTGCAAAAGCATGAAACTGAACCACTAACTTATGCCATACACAAAAAGCAACTGAAAATGGATTAAAAACTTGAATGTAAGACCTGACACCATAAAACTCCTATAAGAAAACATAGGCAGTAAGTTCCTTGACATTGGTCTTGGCAATAATTTTTTTAGATTTGACACTGAAAGCAAAGGCAACAATAGCAAAAATAAGTAAGTGAGACTACATCAAACTAAAAAGCTTCTGCACAGCAAAGAAAACTATCAACAAAATGAAAAGACAACCTACCAAATAGGAGAAGATATTTACAAATCATATATCTGATTAATATCCAAGATATACAAAGAACTCATACAACCCAATACCAAAAAACAAAGAATCCCATTTAAAATTGGGCAGAGGATCTGAATAGACATTTTTCCAAAGAAGACATGCAGACTGCCATCAGGTACATGAAAAGGTGCTCAAAATCACTAATCATCAGGGAAATGCAAATCAAAACCACTATGAAACATCACCACACCTCTTAGAATGCCTATTATGAAAAAGATAAGAAATAACAAGTGTTGGTGAGAAGGCGGAGAAAAGTCAACCCTCATGCACTGTTGGTGTGAAAGTAAATTGATGCAGCCACTAAAAAATGAAAAACAGTATGGAGGTTCATCAAAAAATTAAAAATAGAACTACCATATGATCCAGCAAAACCACTTCTGGGTATTTACCTGAAGGAAATGAAAACATTCACTAGAAAAGACATATGAATGGGGATGATATGCATGATAGTGAACATGGGGATGTTCACTGCAGCACTATTTACAACAGCCAAGACATGGCAGTAACCTAAGTGTCCACTGATGGATGAATGAATACAGAAAATGTGTTCTTTACACACAATGGAATATTATTCAGCCATAAAAAAGAAGGAAATCTTGCCATTTGCAACCATGTGGACAGACCCTGAGGGCATTATGCTAAGCGAAATAAGTTGGACAAAGACAGGCTGATACCATATGAACTCATTCATATGTAGAATCTAAAACAAACAAAACACCAAACTCATAAATACAGAGAACAGAGTGGCGTTTGCCAGAGGCTGGGTGTAAGAGGGTAGGCATAATGGGTAAAAGGGGTCAAAAGGTACAAACTTCCAGTTATAAAATAAATAAGTCATGGGGATGTAATTTACAGCATGGTGGCAATAGTTAACAATACGGTATTGCAGGGAATTCCCTGGCGGTCCAGTGGTTAGGATTCTGGGCTTTCCCTGCCGTGGCCCGAGTTCAATCCCTGTCTGGGGAACTGAGATTCCGCAAGCTGCACGGCATGACCCCCCACACACACACACACCAAACAACAACAACAATAACAACAACTGTACTGTATTTAAATGTTGCTAAAGAGAGTGGGTCTTAAAAGTTCTCATCACAGGAAAAAAAATTTGTAACTGTGTGTGGTGACAGATGTTAACTATACATACCATGGTGATCATTACAGAATATATACATGTATCAAATCATTATGCTGCACACCTGAAACTAATGTAATTTGTCAATTATATCTCAATTTTTTAAAATACTGGTTTCTTCTGCCACATACCATCAATGTAAATCAGTCCAACAGACCTGTGAGTAGTGTGTCACACAGTATAAAACTGAAAGTGGGGAGCTCCCTGGTGGTCTAGTGGTTAGGATTCACCGCTTTCACTGCTGTGGTCCAGGTCCGATCCCTGGTTGGGGAACCGTGATCCCGCAAGCCACGTGGCACAGCCAAGATTAAACCAACCAACCAACCAACCAACCAACAAAAACTCCTCAAAGTGGATGCTGTGTAAGAATGCTGCCCAGCTTTCCAGTTCCCCCCCTACACTTTCATCATCCTCTGCTCAATGTTGCAAGTACAGGGTACCTAGTTTGATTCTGGTGTCTGAAAACAGGAAACAAAAACAAACAAAAAAGACTAAGAAGTGAACATGAGAAAAAGAATAAAGATAATTCACAGAAAAAGAAATGCAAATAGCCAACAAACCTATAAAAAATGGTTCAACTTCACTAGAAGTCAAGTTTGAATTACAGCAATAATAAGACACCAGTTTTCTCCTACATTCAAAATGACAAATATTTTCTTAAATGATAATACCCAAATGACTGATGTTTTGATAGACGTAGTTATTTCAAGGAAATGGCTACTCTCCTATGTTGCTAATAGGAATGTAAGTTGGTATAGTATTCTGCAGTAAATTTTGCCAATA